AACACCGGATTCCGAGAATCCGATCTCGTCCCTGCACCGTTCGCACCAGAGAGAGTCGAAAGAAACGACAATAACGATTCATATCGAGGAGAAGGGAACCGAGGACGTAGCAGAGGAGACAGAAAACGGTAAAGCAGTGGTCAAGAAAGAAATCCAGCTCGAGGAAGAGGTGGTGGTCGGCGAGGAGGGAAGAGAAGCTATCATTGCATCCTCGTACGTCGATTATCAACGACCACCTGCTGCTTTCCCAACACACACAGATTCGTGCCCGGTAAGCCCCGCGAACGATCGAGAAGGATATTCGTTGCCCCCGAGTCCTCGAGGACCGACCAGCTCCGGTAGATCCAGCAGCAGTTGCTCTGACAGCGAGATGGATCCACTCGACTGTTCTTCCGCCAATCAAAATTCGTCGAACGATCTCACTCGTCGACGATCATTCTCGCTAAGATTCAAGCTGGATGTTCTCGACGCTTTCCACAGGGACGTCGGTGTGGCGGGCAATCAACGCGCCACGGCGAGAAAATTCGGTATCAATCGGCGTCAAGTACAAAAATGGTTGGGTCAAGAAACAGAGTTGCGGGGCGAGATCGCTCTTCGCGGAAACTCGAGGCAGAGGCTCGGTCCCATCCAGGATGCCGCTTCCGGTGACTCACCGGTAGATCTGAGGACGTCGAACTACGTTTCCAGCTTATCGCAAGATCGAATCGAAGTCGAGTACGAGCAATCGCCTCCTTATTGCTGCGATGTTGGTTCCTCGCAGCATCTTCCATATTACCAACACACCGCTATGGTCGATGTATCTTGCGAGAACGAGCCTGTCGTTTCTTGTAATCTTTCATGCTGCATGGACGGCCACGCCGTGACACCGGTTGTCTCATGCTATCAGGAAACCTCCTTAAGGGGATCTTGCTACTCCGACTCGCAGACCAGATTGTACTGTTATTCCCCCCGAGAATATTCGTCGGAGATCACCTCGGTTTCCGAACACTCGGAAGAACTGTCCTCACCGTTAAAGAGGCAATATTGCACTCTTTCATGCTGTTACGAGACTCTATCGTCGCCGAAGAGACTCTGCCTAGAGATCGAAGATCAGATCAGGACGAATTCCTGCCAAGAAGTGCCTCCTCAGGAAATGCCGCTTTGTCTGGTGAAGCCAAAGAGGTTCGTCGACGCAGCTGCGTCGAGAACGGAGCCTGTGACGAGTACTGTGCCGACGCCACCGGCGTCCGTCGCGCCTCCGCCCTCAGGATCAACGATCAAGAAGGATGCCATCCTGTTCAAGCCTTATTTGGACAATCCCGTGAGCAAACCGGCCAAAGAGCAGACGGTCCAAAGGGGTTTGTCTCCCATCAGTAGCCAGAATATCATTAACAACAATAATAACAATAACAACAACAACAACAACAACAACTGCCAAAATATTTGCAATCTGAACGAAGGCAGGGGCCATGACTATGCTCTAGAATTAAGCCTGAGATTGCCGGTATCCTGGAGAGCTCATCCAAGTCCGTACGAGTTCCCACAGGTTAGAAGTGCGTTCGTTAGGTATCCAGCAAGTCCTCATTATACTTAATTGGAAAATTTGTTTGATCCTCGATTTCGCGAAACGGAAGTTTCGAATGTTTCGAATATTTTATTGTAAAATTAACCGACATCAAATGCCAAAAAATCGATATTTAAACTCGAAAAAAATTTTTTTTAATCGATCGTTGTTGATATTTAAATTCGAAAAAATTAAAAACGAAACCATAATTCGGATCAAGGATATGAAATCGATTATTAAATATTCGATGGTCAATAAAGAAGAGAAAAAATTCTTCTAGAAAGGATTTTCTCGAGCAGGATCGATTAGTACGTGATCTACGACACGTCGTATGCCACGTAAGCTTTATCGTTTCCTCAATCGTCGGCGTCGCGTAAAACATGATAAAATTTTAATCGGCCATTAGACGGTATGTGGAAAGAGATTATATACACGGTTGCGTCTTTAATTGGCATCCTTTAACTTTTTTTAATCTGATTTTTTTTTCTGCCACTCTCCGAAGTTTATTCAATCCTTTCCTTTCCCTTCTCTCTCTTTCTTTTTCTCTTCTTCTCTTTTTCTCCCCTTCTCCATGAAAATTTATCATGATGAAATATTTTTCTTGGAGAAATTTTTCTCATACCATCTTATCATCGAGATTAGCTCGTTCGATAGCTATCGGCTAGGCCGTTTAGAGGTCGAGTGTATTGGCTATAATTATAGAATTATGTCAGTCTCTGAATGATAACGATCACGATGAAAACTCGGTAGCGTGGCTCATCATCGTGATTCGTTGCGTAATCATCTTTATAAATTTCGAGAAAAATTCTCGATTCGTATACCATAGTTTTTCCTTTATTCGCTCTCGTCCATTGATTTTTCAATCTCGATTCGCCGGATAGATAGATCAAACCTAATCACATTTGAAATAATTATTTCAGATAATTTTTTTATATATTGTTTAAAATGTTGCTTCAAATAATATTATTTATTTGTACAATACAATATAATTTCTGTTTAGTATTATTTTAACGATTACTCCTTATTTCAATGTCAAATAAAATTTTACCCTTTTGGCATTGGAATTTTCCACGAATCATTTTATTGATTCTTCCTATTTCGCGTTCAATCGAGGATCAAATCTATTAGATATCGTTTAATTGCTCAAAGAATTTCTTCCATACGCGCATCCGTGTCCCATGCACGGTACACAGCAAGTATTACGACAGGGTTTCGTCTCCGTTTTTCCTCTCTTTCGTTTCCCAGAACCTCTCTCGCCTCTCGGTCAGCACGCGATTTTCCCTCAAGTCTCACATTTCCTTCCTCCTCGGTCGATTATCTGTAAATATGTAAATAGAACGACGCAGGAGGATCAAACCGATCGAACTCGAATCTTAATCGATTAATCTAATGAATTGTTTTGTGTGGCTCGGTTCGATCCTCTCGCTCGAACGACCATTCATGGATATTTTTATATATCGAGTTTTCGGTCACGAGGAAGAAGGGAAGGGACGAAAGGTCGAAGAAGGAGAAGCGCGAGAAAATTCATATGACCGCTTCTGTTCGAGGCCTTCGCCATTCGTGCCTTTCTTCTCGCTGGTCTTATTGCTAGATCAAACGCGTAATCTAATTCTGAACAAATTTACAAGTAGATTTATAATTACATAGTTCGTATACAGAGATATATTTTGTACAAATTTGCGCCTTCGAAGGGCAGTTAAAGCGACGAATCAATGTTAAAAAAACTTTTAATATCGATAACGCAACAAACATGTAGTTTTAGAAATTTTTATGATATTGGTCGATAGATTTTTGACAATCTCTATCGAATAGTACGATATCCTTTACGTACATTGTCGATCAGAGATTTGGAATCATTAATATATGTTATAAAATACAATTATTAATAAAATGTTTAAATTAGAGTTCAATTACCTATTTTGTGCAAACAGAAATGAGCACATTTATCTTATTAGTAATGCAAATTTACTTTCGTCTTAATAAATGGAATGGAATTAAATTTTTTTGATTCATTATCAGTTAATATTTTATACGTATATATGATATAGAAAAGAAAAGAAAAGTGATTTCAAATTTCTGATCAATAGCACGTACATATATCAATGAGATTTAATGCGAGATTGATCGCGAGGGGAGATTTTTAATAAATAATAAATACCAGATCGATTTGCAAAAACCGGCGTGCCTTAAACGATATATATATATAATATATAAAAGACATTAGAATTTCATACAGGGACGCAATGTCGTTTAATATCGAGTGTTAATACAATTTTAATTTATAATAAACTTATTCACAAAAAAAAACTACGAAAAAGAGAGAGAGAGAGAGAGA